CCCTCCACTTCCTCCTCCTCCTCCCTCTCCTCTTCTTCTTCTTCCTTCCTCTCTTCCTCTTCCTCCCTCTCCTCCTCTTCCTCCCTCTCTCCTCTTCCTCCTTCTCCTCTTCCTCCCCTTCTGTTTCTCTTCCTCTTTCTCCTCTTCCTCCCCTTCTCTTCCTTTTCCCCCTCCCCTCCTCCTCTTCCTCTCCCTCCCTCTCCTTTTCCTCCCTTCCTCTTCCTCTCCTTTTCCTCCTTTTCCTCCTCTTCTTCTTTGACAAGGTCTTACTGTGTAGACCTGGCTAGCCCAGAACTCACTAGGCTAGCCTTAAATTCACAGAGATCTGCCTGCCTCTGCCTCCTGAATGCTGGGATTGAAGGCACTCTCCACAACACCCAGCTATTTTATAGTTTTATTGTCTCAAACTGAATGGTTTAAGATAATCCACACTGATAGCCTTCTGGCTCTGTAAACCATATTTTAAAGGGGGTCTGGTGGCTAAAACTGGGGCCTGGCAAGACCATGGCCCTTTGTGATTGTTCAGAAAATACTTGACTTGCCTGTCTTAACCTGTGGTGGCAGCCATCACTCATGGCTCCCAGCTCCTCCTCTGTCTTCAAAGCCGCTGGTCGCCTACAGGTTGGTACCCTTAGCAGACTTCTTCCATCTGTAGCCTCAGGCTCTCCTTGCTGCAGAGTGCTCACGGGTCCAGGAATCGGATGTGTGTGCCTGGAGTGACCCTCATCTTCCCGATGTATGACCCCTGTGATGTCCATCTGCACTGACCTCTGAGGTCTGATGTGGGGGCCTCTTCAATAGGGTGCTGGGCTCTGGGTACTGTACCCAGGTCAGGCTCCTGCCTCTGCACTTCAAGATAACTCTGCGAGCCTGGCCTCGTCCTGCACTAGGGCCCGTTCACACACTCATCAGAGCACACACTGGTCAGGTCTGCTCTGGCGCTCTGACACCTGCCTGTGAGATACTGCATCTTGCTGTCTCCTTCACTTCAGTCACATACACACACCCGTCCATCATCCACACCGGTTTGTCAGAGGGGCTCACTCACTCCTGTCTCAGCGCCACCTACTGGTCGCCTCTGTAAATGTCGCCTCTGGCATCACCCTCCTCTCTAGTCTTCCCCCAGGCCCCACCCTTCAGTAAGTTCTGCCTGCTCTGCCTCCAAGCCCACTGAATCCATACCAGCCCACTCCCCACCCCGCCATCCTCCACTTATCCTAACCTTGCTCTTCCCATTGTGGTCTCTTGCCCCCAAGTCTACTCCTGACACTGCCCACAAAGCCCTGCCTCACACAGAAAAACCTAAGCTGCTCCCTGAGACCCACACGGCCTCTATACCTGCACCTGCTAACCTCCAAATGCATCTCCTGCCTCCCTGCCCCTTTTTTGCCCAGCCTCTCGGCCTGCTCTTCAGTCTTGACCATCTAAGCCCCATTGCGAGACAGGGCAACCCTGGCTGTTCCCTGCACCCAGAGTAACCAACCCCGAGAATCATAAGACTGGCTGCTTCACACGCATAAGGCCCTGCCCTATGTCCCCTCCTCTGAGAAGCCCCCCACCACCACTCCTCCAGATAATGTTGCCACCCCATAGTCACCCTCCACCACCACCCAGCTCTGACTCATCACAGCTCTCGCTATATCCTGAAGTCACGGGTGCACTCATGTGGAAATTGTGTCTCTCTGTGGACCATCAGCTGCATGAGGACAGAGGCAGAGTCTGGCTTGCTCCCTGACGTGTCCAAGGACCCAGCGTAGCATCTAATATTTGGGAATGTTCGAGAAGGAATGCATGACTCCTTCACAGCCGCTTTCCAGCCAGCAGTCTCTCATGAGCCTCCATAGCCCCCAGAAACAAAAGCCGCCCCCCCACCCCCCCACACACAATCCTTACAGGTGGCTTAACTAACTCAATGAAAGGACAGACTTGACCCTTGGGAAGGATTGGGCTGGAGAAAGCAGCGTTTGTGTCCAGGAAGCTGGCTGTAGGCCTGTTTGATGAATGCACTGAACTCTGAAGTCTAGAAATGCCAGCTGTCCTCCCGTGCCCATCAGATCAGGCATCGGTGGAACCACAACCTGGAGAAGTGTGGTCAGCCCCTCCTTCAGCGATTCAGCCCTTTGACCCTCCTCCCAGTGAGCTCTGGCACTGAGGAGACTGATCTCCAGCACTCCCCCACCATCCTCTGCTCCAAATAGCCTGCTGGGACAGATAACTCCATGTGGGAATTTCTACCTCTAAGAGCCGGGGACCTAGGCAGATGCTAATGGGGAGCCTCTGTCAGAAAGCAGGTGGAGAATGCAAGGGAGACTCCTGGGGAAAAGAGGGCTCGTGAGTGAGCCTCGGAGGAAGCTCCTCTGCTTCCAGGTTGTTCCAGCCAAGTAGAACACAGCTTTCCCCTCGTCTGCGGTGGCACCAGGAAGTGGCAGAGCGGAGAAGCGCGGCACTACTGAAGCACCTGAAAGGGATTGTTCCCACGCTCTGAGGGATCCCGGCAGGCTGAGCCCGAGGACATGGGTTCCAATTTTAGGAGAAGTGAAAAGCTCCCAGCCACTCTAAAAGGCAGGCATTTGACTTCAAACAGGTGTAGCCTAGTTTCCCAAATCCCATCTGTGAAGCTACAGCCTTCCCCGAGATGGGAGAGTGGAGAGGTGCTGAGCCCTGTCAAACTCCCGTGGGGACGAGGCTCCTTGAAGTGAGCTCCCTCCCTCCTTGGGCTCCGGCTCTGAATCCGTGCAGGGGAAGGGAGCTTCCTAAGCATCCCTACCCCCATGATACCCTCTGATACAGGAAATGATCGTCTCCACCGGCACCGTTTGCTCCCTTCAGGAATAGGAGGGAGCGATGAATAGATTCGGTTTGGTTTTGAGATGGGTCCTCTGGTAGCCCAGACTGGCCTCTATTTTGCTATGTAGTGCCAGCACAAAATCACTGTTCTTGCTGGGCAGTGGTGGCGCATGCCTTTAATCCCAGTACTCAGGAGGCAGAGGCCAGTGGATCTCTGTGAGTTCAAGGCCAGCCTAATCTACAGAGAGAGTTCCAGGACTACCAGGGCTACATAGAGAAACCCTGTATCAAAAAAGCAAACAAACAAAACAAAACAAACAAACAAAAACATTGCTCTTGCCTCCAAAAGGAAGAAGAGACAGTTTATCTGGAGCCAAATCTTAGTGGTCATGGCCAGGAAAACATATTCCCCAAATAGCATGTTCCACTATGGAAGTGGTTATGTGAGCTCTTAATAGTTACAGGACAAAGAAATCAAATATTTACCGAGGATAATTTTTACCAAATGTTTTACCAATGACAAATCAAAGTATTTACGAAAGGCAGTAGTGGGGACCACAGTTGGCGGGTCACAACAGATCTAGTGATCTGGTAGGAATATATTCTAAGGGCTCCTAGTCACAAGGAGATTAGATCAGACACAGGTGAGGGCAATGGATGGCTTTCAAAGAGACTAAAAATAACCCAAGATAATTTGGTTCTGGTCTGCAACATTTTAATGATCCATAATCTTCCAAGTTCAGTCATTTGGCCTCATAGAATATTTAACACAGGTACAGCCTCCACCCCCTCAATCCCTGTTTCTGTCTCTCTGTCTTGTTCTCTCCCTCTAGGAACTCCAGTTCATATTGGCAAAGAACAATCTCAAACTTACAACTCTGACTCCACCTCCCAAGTGCCGGGTTATCGGGGTACGCCACCATGCCCAGTTTCTTCAGTGCTGGGCATAACCCAGGGCCTCCTTCATGCTAGGCAGGCTCTCTACCAACTGAGCTACACCCTAGCTGTTTGGTTTTGTTTGTTAAGACAGTGTCTCTGTGGACTGGGAGGTGGCTCAGCAGTTAAAAGCACTGGCTGATCTTTCAGAGAACCGGGGTTCAATTCCCAGCACCCACATGGCAGCTCACAATCATCTGTAACTCCAGTTCTAGGGGATCTCACACTTACCAGGCACTCATGTACATACATGCAGGCAGAACACCCATACATGTAAAATAAAATTTTTAAAAATATGTATTTTTAAAAACCACAAATAGTGGCACACCCCTTTAATCCCAGCACTTGGGAGGCAGAGGTAGGCCGATCTTTGAGTTCAAAACCAGCAAGTCTCAGGACAGCTAGGGCTATACAGACAGACCCTGCCCTTAAAAAAATAAAAATAAAAAAATAAAGCAAAACAATAAAAACCACAGTGTCTCTAGGGCTAGAGAGATGGTTCAGCTCTTGAGAGCGCTGGCTGCTCTTCCAGGGAACCCAGGTTCAATTTCTAGCACCCACACGGCACCTCACAAACCGTCCATAATCCCAGCCCTCCAGGGACACCGCACACTTGCGGTGTAGACATACGTGCAGACAAACACCCATGCGCGTTAAATGTTTTTAAAGAACACATCTCACTGCATAGCCCATTCTGGCCTTCAGCTCAGTAATGTGCTGGGATTACAGACATGCTCTACCAAGCCCGGCTATGGACGGTAATCTTAAAAAGCCAAGTGTTCCCTAAGCATTATAGTACAGTCCTATAATTCCAGCACTCCTGAGACTAAGGCCGGGGAATCACAGTTCTGAGGACAACCTGGGCTACATAGTGAGACTGGGAGAGGGCCAAAATACGAAACTTACGCTACTTTCCTATGCATCCCTTTAGTTCTAGAAAGGCCTCTAGCCAGGCCTAAATGGCTGTAGTACAGGGAGGAAACGTGAGTGGAGTAGACCGGTGTAATGGAGACAGTGGGGAGTATGGGAGACCAGCTCCCACATTTATTGAGTACCCCAGGGACTCTTGAGGAATGAGGGATAAGAGACTTAGGTAGAAGTAAGGAGGGGAGAGAAACAGAGAGAAAAACAGGATAGACTCAGGTGGACCTGGATCCTTATCCACTGGCCCAGAACTTTAGTCCAAAGGTCTATTTATAACAATGCCAAGGGGCGGGGCAAAGGATCTCCCCCTTCCTAGTTACAGCCAAGTGTAGACCCTCACAAACACCTGGTACCCAGGCCCGTACGGGGTCCAATCAACCTCTTATGCAGTCATGCTGGGTACAGTCACTAGGAAACCTAGTGGGCTACAACAGGGGAGTAGCTGGGACTGCAGTAGACCAGAGCCGGCCTGAAAGGCAAAGGCATTTCTCAACTGGAATTCAGGCCATGAATACATATTACATGAAATTTCTTAATTATCAGAGGTATCATGAACCAAGCTGAGCCCACGAGCTGGAGACGGTTAGCCACCTCATTCTCTGGGTGCAGACCTAGTGCAGATAATCGTAAAACTGGGTACACAGTGGGGCTAAGAAGGTGGCTCAGCAGGGAAGGTGCCCGTCGCTTCAGCATGAGGACCTGAGTTCAATCCCCAGCACCGGGTACTAAGCAGGCATGGTGGCGTGTGATTGTAATCCCAGCACTGGGAAAGTGGAGACAGGCAGACCCCAGGGCTAGTCAGCTAGCCTGGGTTAAAAACAGCAAGTCTCACGTCCCAGTGAGAACCCATCTCCAGAAAAAGGGGTGGATGGCTCCTGAGAAAGGACACCCAAAGTTGACCTCTGACTTCCACAATACGTACACACACCTGCACATTACAGTACATGTGTGCGCACCCGTGTGCGTGCACACAAACACACACACACACACACAATGTATTTAAAAGGGGAAGAGCATGGGCTATGAGTGTGACTCAGTAAGACTGCTTGCTCTGCAAACATGAGAACCTGAGTTCAAATCCCACCTCCCATGTGAAAGCCAGACACAGATGGATGTGTCTGTAGCCCCAACACTGAAGGATGGAGAAAAGCAGATCACAGGAGCTCACTGGCCAGCCAGCTGAGCTGAAGCAGCAAGCTTCCGGTTTGCTGAGAGACCCTGCCTCAAGGCAACAAGGCAGAGAGCCTTAGAGGGTCCTCAGGGGACATCTGCCAACAGTCAAGCAAACCAGGCCCAGTCAGACATTTCTTTGTCCATCAACGCTTATGTACCTGCTTCCTGTTTGTGGACGTGATACAGGTGTTAAGATAAACATTCATGCAATAACCAGCCAGGATTGAGCCCCTGGCCCTTGTCCAGGACTTTGTCCTTCCTGATCCCCTGGAGTGGATCACATGATTAAACTCATTTCACAGGTAAGTGACTCACCTGGCTGTCTGGCTCCGAAATCTGTCACCTCAATACCAGGGCTTTTCTCCTCAGCATGAAGGATCTTCTCAGCCAGATGACTGGCAGGGTTGTCATGGACTACCTCCCTGGCCCCTCTGCTGGAAGCTAGAACTCCCCAACATATCAGTCAAAACTACCTCAGACATGGCCGAATGTCCCATGTGGATTAAGTCCACGCCACTTGAGAGGAACTGGCCTGTGCCCAGCCATCCTTCTCAGCTAAGCCAATCTGATAAAAGCTGGCTGGGCTAGGGATGCCTGCCACTCTGGCAGAGTGCCTACCCATCATGCACCTGGGCTCAGTCTCCACCACCTCACACGTGAAACTAACCCAACGCCAGGACCACTCTGACCCTCATGGACCCCAGTTATCTCAGAGGCCCGCCTCCAATCCCCACACCAAGAAGTCAGAGCCCCAGGCTGGTGAGATGGCTCAGCAGGTAAAGGCACTTGTCAAGCTCGCTGTGGCCGAGTTCCTTCCCCAGAGCCCATGTGAAAGTGCATGGAGAGAACCAGCCCCACAAAGCTGTCCTCTGGCTTCCACACCCATACACGCGCGCGCGCGTGCACACACATCTGCCACACAGACACAGCCACTACCACACCCACAATAATAATAGTCTTTTATATGTTACATATTATTACATATATTGGGGGAGCTAGAACGATAGCTCGGTCTTAAGAGCACTGGTTTCTTTGGCAGAGGACCAAGATTCGATCCGCAACACCCACATGACAATTTACAGCCACCTGTAACTCCATTTCCAGGGACCCCTACATCCTCTTCTGGCCGCCTTAGGCACCTGCACACATGTAATACATACAGACAAATAGGTGCACACACACATACACACAAACAAAAATATTCAGAACCCACAGTGGCATTTTTAAATAAAATAAAAATGCATATTCTTTTTTTTCAACCTGTCAAGGGTTTCAACCTGCGGCCTTTGGGGCCCAGACCAGGGAAGTGTCTTTAGAATCCACAGTCAGAGAGGGACTCCGCTAAGACTCGGGGTTCACCAGGGGTCTCTCTTCCTTCTCCTCCCCAGGCCCAAGAGGGATGTGAAGCCCCAAAATGACCCTGTTACCGGGAGACAACTCGGATTACGATTACAGTGCCCTGAGCTGCACCTCAGACACCTCCTTGCACCCCGCCTTCTTCCCACAGCGCCAGGCCATCAAAGGGGTCTTCTACCGCAGGGCCCAGCGGTTGCACCCGGAGGACGACCTGCACCAGGGCAGCTCACTGGGGGACCGCCGGCGCCAGATCATCATCAATGTGGGGGGCATCAAATACTCGCTGCCTTGGACCACGCTGGATGAGTTCCCGCTGACGCGGCTGGGCCAGCTCAAAGCCTGCACCAACTTCGATGACATCCTGAGCGTGTGTGACGACTATGATGTGACCTGCAATGAGTTCTTCTTCGACCGCAACCCTGGAGCCTTCGGCACCATCCTCACCTTCCTGCGGGCTGGCAAGCTGCGGCTGCTGCGGGAGATGTGCGCCCTGTCCTTCCAGGAGGAGCTGCTTTACTGGGGTATCGCCGAGGACCACCTGGACGGCTGCTGCAAGCGCCGATACCTGCAGAAAATCGAGGAGTTCGCCGAGATGATGGAGCGCGAGGACGAGGAGGAGCCTCTGGACAGCGAGGACCAAGACACTGAGGGTCCGTCCACCGGTGAGGGCCGCCTGGGCCGCTGTATGAGGAGGCTGCGGGACATGGTGGAGAGGCCACACTCGGGGCTGCCTGGCAAGGTGTTTGCCTGCCTGTCCGTTCTGTTTGTCACCGTCACCGCCGTCAACCTGTCTGTTAGCACCCTGCCCAGCCTGCGGGAGGAAGAAGAACAGGTAAGCCATTCTGTGACTCCAGAGACGGGCTATAACTTCATTCGCCATTACCACCTGCCCTGGGCAGCCTTCCCTCACCGCACTGGTTGAGTAGCCTCCGTGGTGCTCCACATCAAACTGTGTGGATGTGTTTGCGTCCATCTTCTCTGCCTCCCCCCTGGAGTCAGTGTCTGTGACTAAGGAGTCAGTGTCCTGGTCTCTACTGTGTCCCCAGTCTCCCATCCTGTGAGATCTAGAACCAAACCTAAGAAAGAGGAGACTCTCAGCCTCTTCTGCAGACTGTACGAATGAGTGAGTGTGAATCCGACATGCCTGCCTCTGAGCTGGGCACATTCCAGAGGCCATCAAAACTGACCTGAGTCCTCCCTCCCCCTTCCCGTCCCCCTTCCCATCCCCCTTCTATAGTAAAATCCCAAGCACCTTTTCTTAGTCATAAGAATAATTTTTATCCATAGGTCTGTGTGTTCGTGCATGTGCCCACTGGGTTAGCATGTCTCTGTGCACAGTAGGAAATTGTATATAAGACATTTACTCCCAGACTGACACAGTCTGTGTGACCCCAAAAACCATGGGATGGGGGGTGAGGGGGGCTCTGCCCTCTGCCTCCATCTTGCCTTCCCTCCAGGTCCTCCTGTGACACTGTAGGGGATGTGTTTCTCACATCCACCCAGCAGTTGAGGATGCTGGGGCAAGCAGAGCAGTTTGCCAAGTCTAGGTTCATGGAACCCACAGTCTCTATGCCCCATACAGCAGCTGGGGACCCAGGATAACCCCACAAAAGTACACAACTGCCCTACATAGCACCTCCCCCAAAGTGGACTTGGTTGAAATCTTCAGAACTACGGTGTTTGCCATATAAAAATGCACACTAGGCTTTTCTTACAGATGACAGAGAAAGGCCCTTGGTGAGAGCTGGGTACAGGGGGGAGGTTGCCCAGTGACTCTCCTTACCTACAAGACCCCTGGGCCTGTGAGTTGTGACTCCTACCCCACACATACAGCAACAAGGTACACACTGTATAGGCATTTGAGAGATAGGTTTGATGACGTGAAGTGAACATAAATGTCATGCCAGCCAGCATGTATTGAGCACCAACTGGACACCCTGCATGTGCTAAGCATTTTATGCTGTTTGACTTAGCCTTTTCTTACCAGGAAAAAAAAAAATCCTTCTATCTACAGATATCATGGAGGATGTGATCATCACTACTGTATTTTCAACCCAGAGGGGATTGCTGGCATGGTCTTACACACTGAAGCTTTTAAAGGATCTTAAGAAAACATGTGACTAATAAAATTAACTTTTGATGACCACAGGGACTGGGGACAAGGAGGGAGGGCTAGAGCCTGAACCTGAATCCCATCTCACCCACTCTGGCAGCACAGCTGTGGGACAGTTACTAGACTACTCTATGGCTCAGCTCCCCACACCTGTCCAGGGAACTATGACCACTCTCAGTGAGTAAGGGGATCAGAACAGAGCTTGTTATCTAGTACCTGGGTTGGTGGCCCCCTACTCCATAACCATACAAGGGGGCTTGTGTAAGAGACCTCCTATACACACCTGGAGCTACTTAGGTGGGGTGCACTCCAGGAAGGCTTCCTGGAGCAGGAGGGATTCCCATCTCAGGTTAGAGACATCAGAGTTCCCAGGTCAGATCATGTCCCCAGGCTGGAGGGCATTTTCAGAAAGACAGACTACACAGGTCCTCTGAGAACCTAGCCATGACCAAGACCCTTTAGAAAATCTCCGGCTGGGACTTCTACTCCAGCTGTAGCCTTCCATGGTTCCAGCCTCTTGGGGACTGTGTGCTAGGAGGATGCTGGCTGGGCAGGTGGGTGAGAGGATGCAGGCTGCCTGAGTTTCGTGGACTGCATCATCTGAGCACCTGTATCAATATTCTGATGTAGAAAGAAAGACTGGCAGAAAAGGAAAGGAGGGAGGGCCGGGCGGTGGTGGTGCACACCTTTAATCCCAGCACTCGGGAGGCAGGGGCAGGTGGATCTCTGTGAGTTCAAGGTCAGCCTGGTCTACAGAGTAGATGCCAGGACTGTTACACAGAGAAATCCTATCTCGCAAAACCAAAAAAAAAGGGGGGGGGGAGGAAGGGAGGGAGGGAGACACATACAAGGCACGGGAGCATCAGCCGCTGGAGGGGTGGGATTGCCTAATAAGCTAAGGAAAGGGAAAGGCCCAGAAAACAGGAACCCGGGTGGCAGATGCAGAGGAGTCTGTCTGGAGATCAGAATCAGCAGCTAGAGCGGTGCCCCCAGGGCCTGGTGGCAGGGAGAGACAGGGAAGAAGGGTGCCCAACCCAGGCTAGAGCTCCTTCCCTGACGGTTTGCTGGTGTGACCCCTGCCCTGTCTCTCCGCAGGGCCAGTGTTCCCAAATGTGTCACAACGTCTTCATCGTGGAGTCCGTGTGCGTCGGTTGGTTCTCCCTTGAGTTCCTGCTCCGCTTCATCCAGGCGCCCAGCAAGTTCGCCTTCCTGCGGAGTCCACTGACCCTCATCGACCTGGTGGCCATCCTCCCGTACTATGTCACACTGCTGGTGGATGGCGCTGCCTCCAGCCGCCGCAAGCCAAGCACCGGGAACAGCTACCTGGACAAAGTTGGGCTGGTGCTGCGCGTGCTGCGGGCACTGCGCATCCTCTATGTGATGCGCCTGGCCCGGCACTCCCTGGGGCTGCAGACGCTGGGGCTCACAGCCCGCCGCTGCACGCGCGAGTTCGGGCTTCTGCTGCTTTTCCTGTGTGTGGCCATTGCCCTCTTTGCCCCACTGCTCTACGTCATCGAGAACGAAATGGCCGACAGCCCCGAATTCACCAGCATCCCTGCCTGCTACTGGTGGGCCGTCATCACCATGACGACCGTGGGCTACGGAGACATGGTACCTAGGAGCACGCCTGGCCAGGTGGTGGCTCTGAGCAGCATCCTCAGCGGGATCCTGCTCATGGCCTTCCCTGTCACCTCCATCTTCCACACCTTCTCCCGCTCTTATCTGGAGCTCAAGCAGGAACAAGAGAGGGTGCTGATCCGCAGGGCCCAGTACCTCATCAAAACCAAGTCGCAGCTCAGTGGCATGTCCCAGGACAGTGACATCTTGTTTGGAAGTGCCTCTTCAGACACCAGGGATAACAACTGAGGCCAGAAGACATCCCTGCCCTGCCTGCCAGCTGCGGCTCCGTGCAACCACCGTCACCATTGAAGCCTGGAGAAGGACGTTTCCGATTTCAAGGCCAGCCCTGGCCCGGGACTGACCTGAGTGAGCCACGCCACAAGAAGGATATGTGCCACATCACCGAGAGTCACTGCCCTCCCTCAGAGCCCAGAAGCGAAAGGGAAGCGAACTGAGGCCAGCACCTCACCCACCCTAGCCTCACATCTGTTTCCCACCCTCAGGAGCCAACTGGCTCCTTTCCACGTGTAAAGAACACAGGGGACTGTGTGGAGAGAAGTCCAGACAGCAGGCAGCCACACATGACTGACTTTAACGCGTCCACTGAAGAGGGAAAAGCCCTCCCCTGGGGCTCTCGAGGAAGGAGCCGTGTCTCTAAGTGAAGCCAGCAGCGGGGTAGCAGAAGTGAAAGGGCCATGTTGCTGGGGTCTCGGGGCTGGCGAGACCCCGGTGGGATGGGAGCAAAGGGAACAGACAGACCTTTAGGGAGACCACCATGGATGCTGTGTCCAGCCTCCTGCTGCTCCGGACTCCCGAGCCTGTCCTTCATCCTGCTTCCTGCTCACCTCCGCCCTGTCCTCTTTCACGCCTTGAGAGCCCCTTCCCAGAATCCCCTCATCCCAGTGGGGGACACCATAAGCCGGTCAGCGCTACTGACTTTAAAGGTGAAGTCACCTCATTGTATGGCTTAAATAAGTGAGATTTTAGCCTACTCCAATTTAATATTACAAAAACAAACAAACAAACAAACAAACAAAAAAAAAAAACATTTTATACCCCTTACCAGCTCCTCAGTCCAAACCCACAGTGGGCCAGTGCTTCCTGCAGATGCAGCCCTGGGAAGTCTTGGGAGTGTGTGGAACCTCCTCTGTGCCCTAAAGGGAGCCACTCCCTGGTCTCAAAAGCATAGTTTGTGCACCAAGACGGACCCCAGGCCAAGCTAGAAGACTCCATCTCAGCTCACTGTGTCTGAGTCCTGGGTGCCTGGCACTAAGAGGAAGTCACACATGCACATGTACACACATGCACGTGTACACACATGCACTGTACACACATGCACATGCACACACATGCACACACACTTGTCCCCAGCCTCACAGGTGCAACAGCTTCCCTAACTGCTTTATCCCACATCCCAGCTGCCTTCTCTCTGTTCAGCAACAGAAATTGCACATTGAGACACGTCTGGTTCTGACTGGGCTGTGCAGCTCAAATCCCTGCCTGCTGCCACAGTCTCCAGCTTTTCCCACACCTCCACACCTGTCCAGACAGTCCACCGGCCCCTCCCACACCTCCACACCTGTCCAGACAATCCACCGGCCCCTCCCACACCTCCACACCTGTCCAGACAATCCACCGGCCCCTCCCACACCTCCACAACTGTCCAGACAGTCCTCCAGCCCCTCCCACACCTCCACAGCTGTCCAGACAGTCCACCGGCTCCTCCCACACCTCCACACCTGTCCAGACAGTCCTCCAGCCCCTCCCACACCTCCACACCTGTCCAGACAATCCACTGGCCCCTCCCACACCTCCACACCTGTCCAGACAGTCCACTGGCTCCCCCGACCTCCACACCTGTCCAGACAGTCCACTGACCCCTCAAGCCTCCCTTCAGACACGCCAGCCCACCCCATCTCATCGCGGACCTTCACCCCTGCAGCGCCACCTGCTGGAATGCCCTCCCTAAGGAACACTGCATGGCTGACTCACTCCTTCCGCTGCCTCCCTGTCCTGAGCACCCACTCCTGCAGTTTCCCCATCTTCTCCTTTCTCTGCTGGATCTTTGCCGGGTGAAACTCACTTCTCGGCTCCTGCGCTCTGGTTCGTCTCCCACAGGACCAGCTCAGTCTATCCTGTCAGGGACTCTAAAGCGGTTCCCTCCCTGCTGCCTCCCAGGACCTCGGGCAGGTTAGCACCTAAGAGGCGCTCAGAAAACACTTTTGAAAGGCAGAATAAAGTGGAAACAGCAAAAAGAAACAGAGACGGAAAATGTATCCATTGCAGCTTGGATCTGAACTGTCCCTGCCTATCTAGAGCCATACCACCCCAAATGTGCCTGATCTCACGTGAAATGTCACCCAGAAGCTCACATGTCAAAGACTTGGTTCCCCATGCAGAGGTGGGACCTCTGGTAATGCAGTCACAAGGGCTCTGACCCCATCAACGGATCAACCCATGATAAATCCACAGCTTTCGAAGCACGCTGGGAAGCGGTAGAAACTTAGAGAGGGTGGGGCCTGGTTGGAGGAAGTAGATCATCAGAGATCTGCCCTTGAAGGGTGTGTTGCTCCAGATAACTTCCTCTTGGTTTTCTCTCTGCTTCTGGCTCCAGTGAGGGGAGCAGCTGAGTACCACAACATACCCTAGTGGGATGCTGCACCTTGAAGTGGGCCAGAAACAATGGAGACGAATGACCATGGACTGAGACCAGAAACCAAAGTAAACCTTCCCTCCTTCAAGCTGCTATCCTCTGGTGTTTTGTCATAGCAATGGTAGCTGTCTGTCAGAGTTTATTTTTAACACGGAGCCTGGGTCCCTGGAGCACCCACACACACACATCTTTTCCTTACCTTACGGAAAGACATAGCCATCTCTGCACGGCATACCCACAAGCAGGCAGAGTGGAAATACCATCCAAACCCCGAGGGCCTCCTTTAAAGCTGCTCCTCTGATGCCTGCTCCAGTGACTCAGCTCTGCAAAGAAAGTTTTCCTACTAATTAGCATCACCTTCCCTGGCCCAGCAGATTTCACAGCCCAGCCACTTCAGGGTGGCACCTCAGAGTGGTGGGATACCCTTTCCCCCTCAAAGGTGGCTGTGAGAACAGTCTATGAATGCATTAAGCAGGGTGTAGAGGGAGCCTTCTGAAGGCGGAGTGTGGAAAGAAATGCCACTTGTGGGGGAGGGGACCCTCACACTGAAAACAGGGCCTGGAGTGTGTGGAGAAGCTGCGGGTCCTGTGGCCGGGGTCTCTAACCTTACCTTGCAGGTTTAGCTCTGCCCTGGTGAGTAAGGCTGAAACATAGATTGGCCACCACCCAGGACCTCACCTAGGGATGAGAGGCTCCAGATTCCACCAACATAGCAAAGAGAACTCAGACCCAAACTAAGAAACAGGGCACCTAGGACACCCAGCAAACTGTTCTAGAACAGAGGGCAATCTCTAGGCCAGGCATTTTGTCCTCATAGCCAGGGACTCCCTGTCCGTGGGCCATCTGAGGCTGCAAGACAACTGTGGTCAGACCCAGATGAGAGATGCATTGGTCTGGTGTGACCTGGTGACCTTGCCTCACCTGGCCAGACCCCTATGCTGACTCTGTTGGCCTTGTGTGCAAACCTTGACTCTAGAAGAATTTAGGAGGCTTGGCAGTGTCCGTCTGTAAGTCACGTGGCTGTCCCTACCCAGGACCTGTCAGACACTTGAGAGTCACAGTGGACAGGAGCAGAATCCCAGCCCTGCCTCTGGAGTGGCCCGAAACCAAAGTGCGGTGACTGGGTACCTGTCTTTGACACCAAAGAGAGGGGAAGGACCAGAAGACCAGGTACCTCAACACTTCCAGCTTCAGAATCCAAACACTGCCAAAACTACACAATGAGGAACATGTCAAGATTTCACATGAAAACAAGCCTGACTCCGACCTTCACACTTGGTCCCATCCTGTCCCAATGCCTCAATGTACCCAGGTGAGACACTGTTATGTAACCAGAGCCTGTCTCCATGGGGGAGCTAATGGCTGTCAACACCTCAGCTGTGGGTGTAGCATCCATCCACATCCTTTTAGAAGGATCAGGGACTCATCAGCAACACCCTCTGCTCAGCCAACCCTGGGGACCAAGGCCTGATCCTTGTGCGGTCCACACAGTGAGAGGGAGAGAAATCGTGATATGTGAATTTGGCAGAAAAGAAACTGACAGTGGGTGATGCTGGTGACTTCCCAGAGAGTGACAGAGCCGGAGGAGGCAGAACACAGCCCCTTATGTGGAGGCCGGTGAAGTCTGTGACCCCGGCCACTCCAGAGGCCAAAGCAGAAGCATTGTCTATTCAGTGCCTGCCTGGGCTCCCGGGGGACTTCAGGGCCAACCTGGGCAATTCTGGGAGATTCTGTCTCAAAGTAAAAAGTGCAAAGAGGGTCGTGGGGTAGTATTCAGGGACACAGCGTTCCCGAGGCCTTAATACCTCAAAAGGTATTTTTAAATGTCCAGAGAAGGACTTGCAGAGGAGATGACACTAAATACAGAGCGTGGTGATTCAAGCCCAGAGAAGGGCTGGCCTGCATGTCCAGAGGTGGGGGCCGTTCCACCAGCCTTGGAGAGAGCTGAGGACAGGCACACACTGCTGGACCACTCGGGAACCCACTTATGCCGGCATCGGGGCCTGGCCCCTGACTCCCTCGGCTGCCCCCAGCTCTCACTGTCTCCCTCATGCCTCTTCAGCTGCCCTGCCTGCCTACATCACCCTCTCCTGGCTCTGGGCTGCAGGTCCACCCCCACCTCCCAGCTGAGGGATCACGGGGGCCGCCTCCCTGTTTCTTCTTTCCTGCCCTCGGTCCTGCAGCCCAGGAACCCTGTCGGATCTCTCACCTCTGCTCAGAGCCCAGGCCTGCCCGGCACCCTCACCCCTGCCTGTGATACAGACAAACACAAACACAGTATCTCTGGGCATTTCTTCCTTTTTGTCTTCACCAGCGTCACCAAAGACCAAGGGCAGTTGCTACTTCCTGGATCTCAGTCCCTAGAGACAATGGTTTTCAAACCCACCTCCAGAGCCCTGACCCAACCACTTCCCGGGTGGGGTGGCCACCCCAGCACACAGTTCCTGTGCCGTGTGCATTAGAACCAGGCACCAGGCGGCAAGGGATGGTCCCTGTGACCCAGAGACTGCTAAGATTCATCAAACCAGCCAGTTCCATGTCTGCCCACTCACGTGTCCTCCCTCACACAGAAGCCACAGGGAAAGGCCCTGATACAGGCCGCCTAGCCTCCCTGGCATCTCCCTGTGCCCCTCCCCTGGAATGACATGCTCTCTACCCCCGACATGCATGACAGGCTGACATACTGTCCTCACACGCTTCAGTAAGGGTCAAGCCTTCACTCATTTATTTCATGGTGGAACCCATGGCCTCACACATGCCAGGCAGGGACTCTCTCTACCCCGAGCTTTGCTTCCAGACCTCTTTTTACTTTTCATCTTCAGACAGTCCAGGTGGGCCCTGCACTTGTGATCCCCCTGCCTCAGCCTCCAGTGTCCCTGGAATTACAAGCCTGTATGACCAGGCCCAGCTTAAACCTGTATTTTAAACACCTCTTTACCCATCTCTAAAAGCCATACTACCAAATGATAGGTTACACAGCCGTTTGCTTGTGATCTTTCTGTCCTCCCTGATGTGCAACCCTTTGAAAACAGGGAGCTTCCCAGAAGCACCCTGTCTGGGACAGAGTCAGGCCCACGCTGGCCCAAATGCACCAGCCGGATACCTGTGCACATAGCCTCTACCACTTTACCCTGGGGTTCTGCTTGGAAACAGATTCATCCTGTGAGGATCACTGTCCATCAACCGTCTTTTATGTCGAATCAAATGGACGAGCAGGTGCTGTGGGGCTCATGTCCCCACCATAAAACAGCCCCACGAAGTTTTTAACTTGCTTTTCAGAAAGAAAAAAAAAACTCACCGTTTACCTAAATGACGAGTAAATATCCAGGCTTGGCTGGAAATAGATTTAAAGTCACCAACTAGCCTTGCTTAAAAGGAAAAAAAAAGGAGGGTAGAGATGGAGATGGGGGAGGAGAGACTGAGTACAGATGGGGGAGAGAGGAGGAGAAGGAAGAGGGGAGGCGGAGGGACTAGCCCCCGAGGCCAGGTGACTGTGTAGCACCTATGTGTCTGAGCACACTCCATACCCGGGGCCCAGAAAGGAACACCTGCCACCTGCCCCCAGTGACAGGTCCGGTTAGCAGGCGGCTTGAGTTTGTCTAAAAAGAGAACACAATAGGAAGCATCTTGCTTTGCAAGTTTAAGGGCATAACACATGTGGGGGGGGGGGTCATCCACCAAGGCACTGGGGACAGAATTCCAGGGGAAAGGGACCGTGAGAACACAGCCAGACTTCCTTCCTCCGGCCTCAGCTGGTGATCTAACACCCCACACACACACACAGAGCTCCCAGGGTGTGCTTTAGTTTCACGGGGAAAGAAAATGGAGGGGGCACCAGAAGCGGACCCCCAACACCCTGAATCTCATGTACAGAAGACCTGAGTGGCCCTACCCACTCTCCACAGTCCTCAACACAACAGCAGCCTTGTCAGGGAAGTGCGGGCTGGACCACTGATGGAGAGCCCTGCTGCAGAGCAATCCATCCATCCCCGATGAAGTTCTAACAGGAGCAGAATAGGCCGGGGTGGTGATAAGTCACCGTCACTTGTATTGGCTGACATCGCTGGCCACAGAACGCTGCTTTGACATCGCTGGCCACAGAACACTGCTCTCCTCTGTCTCTCTGACAGCCCTGCTTGTTCATCTCAGGATCAGTTCTGGGGTTGGATCCACTGAAGTAAATCCATCTCCCCTCACAAGCGAGTCCCCAGGAAGACACATGATCCTGTGGCCACTCAGAGAAAGCCAGCTCAGGACCACTGGGGGCACCCTGTGGAAAGGAGAAGCTCTCTGCCTTGAATATGTCCCAGGCACATGGGGGATCGATGCTGCCAGTGGCTAGGCCAGGGGCCCACACCTCTGTGAGTTCAAGGCTGGCCTGATTTATATAGTGAGTTCCAGGCTAGCCAGGGCTGAGACCCTATTTCACAAATAAAATAAAAGGGGCTGGAGAGATGGCTCAGGGGTTAAGAGCACATGTTGCGCCAGGCAGCAGTGGCACACCTTTAATCCCAGCACTCAGGAGGCAGAGCCAGGAAGATCTCTGTGAGTTCGAGGCCAGCCTGGTCTACAGAACAAGATCCAGGACAGGCACCAAAGCTACACAGAGAAACCCTGTCCAAAATAAAAAAAATAAAAAATAAAAAATAAAAAAGCACCTGTTGCTCTTCCAGTGGACCCCAGTTCTGTTCCCAGCACCCACATGGTGCCTCATCATTTATTCCGGGGATCCCATCCCTTCTGGTACATATACAAATATGGAGGCAAACACACTCCTATAGAGATAAAATGTCTTAATTGTTTTCAATTTTATAAAAAGGGGAAGAGGAGGAACCAGGGCTTCCAACACTATATTCTCAAAAACATCACCTTCCCGGAATCTCTATAGAAGAGACCCCTGTACCCAGAGATGCCAGGGAGTGACTACACATCCCATCAGGGCAGCCCACAGTGAGACTAGTGGTCATGGGTCCCAGACTTGGCCCAAGGATGGAGCTTATTCTGGGGTGCCAGCTCTCTTCTAGGCTCCCAGCTTATTCTGGGCTTCAGATAGACCCCAGCCTCAGTGCCACTGCCATGCTCAACTGG